AGGCCGAACTTAAAATATTTAAATTGAGCAATGGGCTGAGAATATCTCATTAAAATTTCGGCCTCTCAATTTTCCTAGTTCCCGAGTTTGCGATTTTCCCACTCAAGACTTTCATGGGGCTGTGCGTGGAACTTAGACGTGCATGGAGGTGGATACCGCGGTCCTGGGTTGGCACTTGACTGGGGAACTCACTGGCAAAATCTTGGCGCCGCATCTTGCTTGGTTGTCGAGTTGATATACCCGGACAGACACACACACACACACAAACACCGGGGTCGTCCCAATATGCATTTGCACATATGCCAGAACGCATAAAACTACCAAAAAGAAATGCAGACGGACATGAAGCAATGGCAGCTAGTGTTACTTTTGTTTCAAAGACCTAGAGTTTGACTGTGACTCTACAGTCTTCTTGACGCCGAATTGATTCTGGCACATTTCAGGAAGACAAAACCGTCATTAATTTGTGCTTAAGTAGTCCTCAAAAGATAAAGCAGTCGCCTTGCCCATCTAGTAGTCCAAGCTTGCTGGCTCTGCTGGTCAAGTTGATTTAGAATGCATTCGCTTCTCACAGATAAAATACTGCTACACGTTTTACAGTCCAGTTTATTTTCGAGCGACATAGCCCTTCAAACAGAATGCGCAGAGAGGAATTTTTTTACGTTTTTGCTATAGTGCTGCTACGGCCAGAACGTATATTGTCGAGAGGCTGTCTGTGTGTATGCGCGTTCGGAAGCGAATGCATTTTGTCACTCACTTTCATCTCGGCAGCAGAAAAGCTCGGAGGCTGAAACTTTGGGTATCTTTTCCCACTTCATGAGTCATCCTCTTGTTTCGAGAACTTCTCCTACACGCGCTTTGACGCCGTATACGCCCCACCCCCCTAAAAAATATGCAAATTTCGTTGGAGAGAAATGATTTCGGTATCGATTTCGCGAACCAGGCAAGATGCAAAGCCAAAATTTTGCAAGGATATTCTCTATGCACGTGCGAGCTGCAGAATTTAAACTCAGCTGCCACGCAAGCGTGTGCAGCGCGTACGACCACGTCAATTTTTTCTACTTGGTACTATGCTAAATCGAAAATTTGCCAAAACATGGCTGAAATTTTATTAGGATGTTTGTCTCTCATATAGAAGATGATATACATAAAATGAGTACCGATTTGCACTTGCGCCACGATTTAGAGTATTTCAAAAATATTTGTAGCGTATTCCGCTTACCGGATAAGCTGCGAGGTTGAAAATTTGCTGGACTATTTACTTTCAAGTGCAGCTCCAATTCTGCTTAGAGATAGAATTCCCTGCAAGTAGGCGTGAGAAATAACCAACTTTACCGAAAGATCAGAAACGAGTGCGTTTTGGAGCAAACGACCGCCCTCACCCAAATATGCAAATTAACATTAGTTCATTTGCGTACTCGAATTTTTTCGCAAACGACAGCTCGAGCAATACTTACACTTGTTAGTGAACTGTAAATTTGTATTTTCATTTTTTCAAGAAGCTAGCATTTGCCGAAAAAACGACCGAGCTTTATGTAAAAAACTGGTAGTCATGTACCTCATGATCCATGCGGCCCTGTAATGCTATACCTTCATCCCAACCGATGCCCTTTCTCCTACATGCCGGAAGAGGCCAAAGCATAGTGTATCTAGAAATACAACAGTAGCACATCGCAGGTTGTTTCTGCTGTGTCAGATGCATGTAATAGTCGTAGGCAGCAGAAGTGGGAGAAAGGCTAGAAAAGCTAAAATCCCCCCTCTCCCGCTCT